CCATGCACATGCAAGAAACCTAATTAAACTCAGTGAGTCAAAAAAAAACTTAAAAAATACAAAAGCATCAGGGGGAAGTAGGAGGGGGATAAGAGAGGGAGATTCAGGGTGAATATGATCAAAATACACTGTATACATGTATGAAATTATCAAATAATAAATTTAAAAGATGAGGTGGAGAGCAGCTGAGGAAGATGCTCACTGTCAACCTTTGGCTTCCACATGCATGTGCACACATATGCATGCCCACCACCTCCTAAATGAAAAAAACATTTGAACATGTACACATATACACACATGCACATGGATCATTTAGTAGTTTGTAAAACAATTTTTAAAACATTTCAAATAAGTGATATCATACTGATCACATTCTCTTGCCATGAGTCACTTGATCTAGAACTCAACAGTAATTTGGAAATAAGCCATTCTATTCAGAATTAGATAAAAATTCTTCTGAATCAAATAAGCCATAATTAAAAATTGAAATGACAATACTACACATCATATTTTGGGGCTATAGAAAAGTCAGCATTATCAGTATACACAGTGTGGTGGTTTGAATGAGAAATGGCCTTTATAGACTCAGATATTTGAATATTTGGTCCTCAATTGGTGGCACTGTTTGGGGAGGTGGTGTAGCAATGTTGAAGGAAGTGCACACTGGGAGCAGGGTTTGAGAGTTTTGAGGCCTCACTACACTTACAGTTCCCTCTTGCTTGTCTGCTGTGAGGGGTGAGGATGTGATCTCTTAGCTTCTTGCTTGGGCGGCCTGCTGCCATGCCTCCCCCAGCATTATGGACTTTTCCTCTCGAACCATAAGCCAAAATAAATGCCTTCTTCTATAAGTCACTTTTGGTCATGGTGTTTTATCACAGAAACAAAAAAGTAACTAATACACACAAGGAACTTTGCAATCTTAAAGCGTTTACATTATAAAAGAATATGATGCCTTTAATTAGTGAGTATAAGAAGTTAGAAACACAGTAACATAGAAGTGTAGTAAGTCAAAGTAAGTAGAGAATGGATAAGGATACTGAAGAAGAGATTGGCGAAGTCAAACTTGGTTCCTTGAAAATATTACATAAAAGGATAAAGTCTTTATTAGAACCCTTCTTCCCTTTCCAAATACAGCTTCCTTGTTCACTCTAATTCAGGAATTTTGGGAAATAATTTTCCAAGAAGTATCTTCAGTTATGAAAGTTTTTGGAGGTGTTTCTGGATTCTGTACTTTGAAAAATCTTTTGAGATATTTCTGGGTTCTCTACTTTGCCATCCAATCTGCTAGTCTCTGCTAAAGAAAATGATGCAGCCTTGAGGACAAGATCACATATAATAATGGCCTCTGGCTTCAGCTTATCTACAATGCCCATGTCAATCCACTTACTCCAGTTACTTTCACCAGATGAAATGAACCTATAATTTCACAGAGGAAACAAATAGATGTGTTTTAGGCATGCAGTCCCTTAGCTCTCAGTATCATTCATTACTACTGATCATATTGGACAGGTAGCTTAAATAAGTGCACTGAACAAGGGTAAGATAAAAGGAAAGGTGAAGGCTGACTGAACGGAAGAGCTGATTTTTGCTATGTGAGAATGTGAACTGAGGTCTTCTGATTTTCAAGAGAAACTGAAGCCATGAATATTAAACAGCTACTACAGCCAGAAGTGTTTATCTGCTGTGGCCTTCTCTATTTTGAAAATTTTATTTCTCATTTTTTTTGCCATGTTTTGGATCTGGAATGTATCCTGAAGGCTCCACAAATGAGAAAAAAATGTGATATTTATTTTTTCTGAGACTGACAATTTGCTTAGTATGATGACCTCCAGTTGCATTCATTTTCATGCAAATGACATAATTTTGTTCCTTTTATGGCAAAGTAAAATTACGTTTTGTTTGTGTACCACATTTTCTTTATCTGTTTCTTTCTTGATGAATACCTGGAATGCTTCTATAACTTATCTTTTTGAATATTGCTGCAAGAAATATTGATGTACAAATATCTCTGTGATATATTGATTTAAACCCTTCAGATAAATACCCAGGAGTGGTATATCTGGGTCATGTTGTAGATCCTTTTGCTTTTCTTAATCGAATTTTTGTGATTTTAATACAATATATTTTGATGGTATTTAGACCCCTTCCCCTATCCACACCTCCTCCGACTGCCCTGCCCAATTTAATGTACTCTCATACATATAATACAGTCTATAGAGTCTGATTTTTGTCCTCAAATGTCTTTCAGCGTGGGTCCTTCCACTAGGCCCACCAAGAGTCCCATCCCTGTAAGACACTGTCTTTCTCTCTCTCAGCGGACATCAGTTGCTGAAAGGGATGTCCATAATGATTTGAATAGTGGCTGGACTAGTTCACATTTCCCATCAGATTTCCCCTTTCTTGGTATTTTTTTTTTTAGATTGCCTTTCTGACTGGGATTAGATGTTATCTCAATGTAGTTTTAACTTGAATTTTACTGATGATGTGGGACCTTTTTCATATGTTTCTTGTCCAGCTTTATCTTTTGAGAACTGTTCATTTCATTAGTCCATTTATTGACTGGGTTGCTTGATTTCTTGTTGTTTAGTTTTCGGAGGTCTTTGTGTACTCCTGATATTAATCCTCTATCCAGTGTGTAGTTAGTATATTCTGCACACTGTATTTTCACTCTTTTATTTTTTTCTTTTCACTCTTTTAATTATTTCTTTTGCTTTTATTTTTTTCTTTTCACTCTGTTTCTTTTGCTGTAGAGCCTTTTGATTTCACGAAGTACCATTTGTCAATTGTTTCTATTATTTCCTGAGTGACTATAGTCCTCATAAATTCCTTACCTGTATTTATGCCTTGAAGTATTTCCACTACATTTTCTTATAAGAGTTTCAGATCTTACCTCAAGATGTCTGCTCCATCTGGAGTTGGTTTTTGTATAGAGATACATGAATCTAGCTTCATATACAAGTTTTGTGGGGAGACTTTTAATTACTGCTTCAATCTTGTTTATTGTTATTTATCTGTTTAATTTGTTTTTGTCTTCTTGATTTAGTTTTGGTAGATAATTTATGCCTAGGAATTTATCCATACCTTCCAAATTTTCCAGGCTTGGGGAATATAAGTTTTCAAAGTACTCCTTAATAATTCCTTGTATTTCTTTGGAATCTGTAGTAACCCTCCATTTTTCATATTTAATTTTATCAGTTTAGTCTCTCTCTCTCTCTCTCTCTCTCTCTCTCTCTCTCTTTCTCTCCTTGTCTCTGAGTTTGGTTATCAATCTTGTTTATTTTTTCAAAGGATTAACTCTCTTTTACCCATTTGACCTATCCAAGGATGCATTGTTCCATCTTCACCTATTCGTGTAGTTTCTGTAGTTTTTGTTGCTGTTGGTTTCTAGTTTTATAGCACTATGTTTTAAAATACAAGAGATTAGCTCTTTTCTTTTGCATTCAGTAGGAATTGATTTATGGCATAGAACGTTCTCTATTTTACAGAAGTTTCCATGGGCTCTTGAGAAGAATGTGAGTTCTGTTTCTTTAAATGGTATAGTCTGTAAACATCTGTTATGTCCATTTGGTCTGTGATGTAGTCTAACCCTGAAATTTCTTAGTTGACCTTCAGTTTGGATAAACTGTCTAGAGATGAGAGTAGGGCATTGAACTACCTATTTTTTTTTAAAAATATTATTTTATGTGTATGAGTGTATTGCCTGCTTGTATGTAAGTGCACTTGTGTCGTGCAATGCCTGTGGAGGTCAGAAGAAGGTATCAGATTCCCTTGGAACTGGAGTTATGGAGGGTTGTTAGTCACCATGGGGGGATGCTAGGAATTGAACCTGGATCCTCTGCAAGAGCAACCAGTGCTCTTAACCACTGAGCCAATTCTCCAGCCCTGAAACCACCTATCAGATTCTGACAGTCCATGTCCATTAATGTTTGTTTTAGCAAATTGGGGGACTCTATATTGATGCATATGTATTTATAATTGCTGTATCTTCTTTTTAAAATTTTATTTTATTAAAAATTTATTTGAAAATTTCATACATGAGTACACTATATTTACATGTTTTCCAGTCCCCCCTCCCCCATCCAACTCCTCCCCTGTCTCCACCACCCCTTCTCAAATTCATGACCTCTTCTTCTATATTTATTATTGTTACACTCCCACATTATTATACATACACACATACATGTATACAACCTACTGAGTTCAATGAGTGTTGCCTGTATGCATATGTGTTTAGGGCTGACCACTTAGGATTAAGGATTTGTCCCTGAAGAAAACTGATTATCCCTCAACAGTTATAGTCTGCCTATAGCTCTTCATCCAGGGTGGAAATTTGTGAAAATTTTCTTCATCTATGGTGGCATGTTGACTGATGTGGTCTTTTCAGTTCTTATGCAGGTAACCATATTGTTGAGAGTTCATGGGAACAACATGCCTGCCCTGTGCAGAAGCCACTATCTCTCAGCAATCCTTCTAGTCTCCAGGCTCTTACAATCTTTCTGCCCCCTCTCCCTTGATATTTCCTGACCCTTAGGTGTAGGGGTTGTGTCACAGATGTCCCATCTGGGCTGGGTATTTTGACCAGTTGTGGATTTATGTAACAGCCTCCATTCGGTGCAAAAAGAAGTTTCTTTGATGAGGGGTGAGAGTTGCGCTTATCTATGGGTATAAGGATAAGTATTTAGAAGGTAATTGGAAACTATATTAATTTAGCAAAATGTTAGTAGTAAGTTTTCCTCTATGATTATATATTCTTGATGAATTATTGTCTTTATTAATGTGTAGTGACTTTCTTTATCTGTTCTATTTTTGAAGTCTACTTTATCAGACAGCACAATAACTTCACCAGCTTTCTTTTGGTTTCTGTTCATTTGGTGGACTATTTGTAATCCTTTGATTCACAGTCTGGGTTTCCATTTGATCTATGGTGTGGTTAAATTCTGATGTATCTTTGTCGATTTTTATTTTGGATGACCTCTCTAGAGACAAGAGTAGATTATTGAAAAAATATGGAATATTTTATGGATTTGTGTGTCATTTTTGTGCAGGCCATGCTTTATCTTCTCTATATCATTCCAATTTTAGTACCCATCCTGCTGAAGCAAGCGCTAGAGCTTAATCTGTGGGTTGTGACTCCATATGGGGTTATGCCAGTGAATGTGGTAGTCATGAAAAAATGGCAATGATAAAAAATTTCTGAAAACAATGAACAAAATTAATTCAAGATTAAATGTGTTATAAATCTGTGGTGTTTTTGGCAGTGGTTTCTTGTGTTGCATCACTTCACTGTAACCGTGGCTTGGAAGACACGACATGTCTTTCAAAACAACAAATTTGCATCGTCCATGCCTTCATGTCTGGTAGTACAAATGAAAGCTGCCTGAAACACCTTGACTCAGATTCAAGGTTATTGTATTGTATGAATTGCAGCACATTTATAGTACATGCAGATATTTTTTGCTCTTAGAGAAGCATAATGGTTTGATTATAGGAAACAAAGACTTAGTATTTTCCCTCTGTCAGTCTTCAGCTTGTATCAAGTTAGTATGTCTTTTAAGTGAATTGTGTTTATATATATATATATATA